CAATGTTTTTGAATCCTCTATTATTTCCCGTTTACAGACCATCTTTATTGAATCGAATTCATCATTTCAAATTTATATAGCCGGAGGTGAAATTTCACCACTGATAGCTTTGGAAATCAAGATTATTCAGATCACAATATTATCTTTTTGATAATATAAATGACAATCTAGACGAAAAGAACAGATACATGGTGTTACGTACCTCTAATAGGTTGACATAGGTAGTATGACACCACACGCGTCAACTGGTAGTGCTTACTTGCTGGATAAAAGTGGCTAATAAAAGTGCTGTCCAGCTGTTTAAATCAGTCAAATGGTCGTAAATAACATGACAGATCCGCCTATTTGTACCCAATATCTATTTCAAACTTGGGTTTATTTTACACAAACGGAGGTATAATTAAATTATTTACCTGCTACTATCAACAGAAATGGTCTTATTTCATATGTGATATTTAAATAAAAATGCATACAGCTCTTAAGATAAATCTATCGCATCGGGTTCAGTGTTAGAGCGCAGGATCTTCATGTTCATCGACTGCTGTGAGAACGGTGGGCGTAGATCCAATCTCAGTATCCAATAAAATTAATATTCTGACGACATCACAATAGCTAAATATGCTCATTCTAGGTTTTTTTTCCCACTCTAGCGAAACGCCAAAGTTTTCAGACAGATGATGATCAGTTGACAAGAATATTTGATCAATGTTATTTAAAGCTTAGCTCCAAAACTGATGTTTAAATTAAAGGACGTTACTATTCTGCAGGTGTTATCAACCGCCGACCTGAAGAGGTAAAAGGGTTTTACCATATGATGCCAGTATACTATTGGCGGCAAATGCCCGGAAAAAATAAAGAAGAGGTAGGGAGTGGGGCCTCCGTGAGGGGCAATTTAGGAGGTTATGGTAACTACTGAGTCCAGAGTGAGGAAAACGGTCTATAAGAACTCAAGGTCACACGCTAGACCTACGATGGAAATGTTCACACGTCATTTCCAGAACACATGTCCCAACAAGTGCTGAAATTTCGTGGGGCTTACTGACTTCCTTTTCTGGAATTTCCACGGAATGAGTCCAGAATTTTTTTGTACAAGTTTTTGTGCATCATCTCCTTAGGTACTGGCAATTCATATTTGGCAGTACAAGCATCGGAGACAAACCGAAAGCGGAAGGAGTATAAGGATACCTCACACTAAAGATACCCGGAACAGAAGGCTACACGCCCTACTCAACTAGGTGTGATTACACTACCAATGTATCACTAAACTTTATGGCCAGAAGGTCTATGGCCAAGAAGTTTGCGTGTAAACCTGCCACTTTTCTACAAGCTCCTGAACTAAATAATCCTTGTATCTTTTAATGGCAATCGATTTTCAGATGACTGGTTGTAACCTGGTACACACTAAAAGTACGGAAACCGGATAAAACACCTGCAAGGCAAAATTTTGACTTGATCAGGTGTGCTCAGACGTTGAACAAACTATCAAAAGAAGGGCGTCAGTCAAGCATGCTGTTCAACTTTTAAAACATACTTGACATGGCTGACTGAGAAAAAGAAATATTCTTTTTATGGCCGTATGCATCTGTAAAGTACCAATGGTTGTTAGCATTTTTGGTATGAACTCTTACTACAAATTCAGAAAGAACACTGGCTAAAGAGTGAAGATTCTGAATAAAACACAAGTCACTAGATGAAATTTCAATGAAATTGAAGTTTGATCTTATTAGTTATAAGACAACGGGTTATATTAAAATTTTGGGATATATTATTTTTACTATCGAAGCAGAAGTCTGAGATGACTAGTGTTAGGGTGTAGCATAGGGGTTCCATAATAATTATATAGCCGCTATTACTATCAGCGATAACGTATATTAAAATAATGTTAGTTCACTGATTTCAAATCTCAAAAGTTGGGTGAGAATAGATTTTGACAGATTAGAGTTCGAAACATGTTCTTTTTTTCCTTCACGTTCCCAATGGAACATAGGGCTTCAAGCCTCCAGTTTGAAGTTTCTGTAGCAGTGTTAATTTTTACAGGATGAGGTTGCTAGCCTCATGCCCAACTTTCCCTCTTTACCAGTCTCACTACTGGCTTAGTGAGGTAAAGGAGTGCGTCGGCCGGAGATCGAACCCGGGACCATGTGAATGGTAGGCGAGCATCCTAACCGCTGTGCCACCGAAACATGTTAATGTGATTATATTCATAAATAAATAGTTCGTTTGCAAAGGTGTAACCACAAGTGGTGAAGGAGTTCGTACATGTAAGATGGAAAGCCGCACAAAAAGGGTGACAAGGCACAAAGTACAGTATTTGTGAACTTGTATGTCCTCCATCAGGCATGGGGGGCCTTTCTGAACCTGTTTCTTTTGGATACGGAGCGCCGACTGTTTTAATCCGATTACAGTGGCCTCTGATGTTTGGACAGCCAGTATCTCGAGGCTTTCGGCAATTTGTTTGGCACTGAATAGACGACTGAAAAATATGCTTTAATGCTAACTTTATGACCTGTTTGGGCCAAATGTCATAGTGTAGAACTGTTGATGGCTTTCCTTACACCTACAATTAGCTCGACTGACAGGTGTTCCCAAGGACAAAAAATTAGGCTCAATATTACTTCAAATTATACATACAATCAAAGATTATAATAATGATAATTTATATTTCGTATGAATTAGTGTTTACAAGGAATGTATGCCGTTTTTATAGGCACGATCGGTTATGCTATAAATTACAATCTCGAAGTATCATAAATTAATACTTTTTCAAAAGTTTAGATTGTTCGATTACTGTACAAACAATCAGAACAGGTTCTTATATAAAGTTAAATTGTAAACCCTTTACTCAGGTCACCATCAAAGTTGAGCGACAACTCAAATTTTGTTCACTTTCCTACTGATAGTTATGATCAACCAGTGAACAGCATATATTTGAGTAAGAGCTATACCGTAACTTGATTTAACGCAGGAGGAGGAGAACTTCCAGGGAAACTGGAAAACTTTACATAAAACACAGTAAGCATATTTAAAGAACTGAGTTTTGCTTATACTCGCTCATCTACTGAATGTTGGACAATGATTTGGAAGTATGGCAGTGTCACAGAAGCGGTAATTTAAAAGCGACAATTTGTTAACGCGTCATGTAAGATGCTTTACGGGTTTTTAATATTCATGAAACCACATTTAAAATGACAACAACACGACAAAACAAAAACAGACCAGTGGTCTTTCCTCATATACTAATTTTCTGTCGGTAAACTGTTGTAAGAGTTTGACTATAAAGGACTTTTTGGGTTGTAATCAACACAGACTAAACACAAAGACATTTAGATGAAAGTCGTGAACAAACTAAGAATAATAACAAAGTATGCATAAAACTGGCTAGTGGTTATCCGCATATAATGTACAACGAATTAAGTATTAGGACATTTAATAGCAATGATGGGACTAATAGTTCAATTGAAGTGATACTGAATTGTGTAACCCTGCAGTGGTCATATTAAAATGTCAAGATCTAATAAGTTGAAAACGCTCATTGATGCAAATTTTTAGAAATTGTATATTGGAATACTCTCCAAAAGCTTTCTCAAACTTTTGATCACCGAGTACATTACTTTATCAAAGTTTCGTATCTTATAATTATTGATGTGAAGTTTTCTGGCCTGCTGAGTCACATTATCTGTTGAAATTAAAATAGTTTTTTCGAAGCTTAGTAGTACTCACAAATACGTGATGAGCTATCTTTTCAAGCACTTTAATTAATACAGTTTTAAATTCTAAAATAGTGGGTCATTTTTAGTCACGAAGTGGAGACTAGTTTAACATCACATTCAGAAGAAGAACTTCATAAGCCTGTAGTCGACTGATAGCTTATTACTTGCTGCCTCTAACGGTAGTGCTTGTTTTATTCTTCTTAATTCCACTGAGAAAAGTTTGTGTCAACGATGTGCTACTAAGCGATGAGTAAATCGTCGAGTGAATACCTAACACTGATGTTAAACTCAACTGTGTTGAAAATGATTGTCAATAATTCGATAGTAGTGCGCACAAAGATTGAATCACAGGGTGTATTTAAAAAAGGGCAATGAATAATGCAGAAATGAGCTTAAATATAAGGGTTTGGAACAGCATTTTTCAGTTTAAAATTAAATAGTTAACGAAACTTTCCTTCGTCGACTTTGCGTCCGTTCTGTAAAACTGAGTGAGGACAAACTTTAAAACATCTTTATCAGAAGCTGTTTACGACAAAAAACAATGTGGAAGCAGTTAAAATTCTTAAAAAATTTTTGTGATCAGTAAATACTGTGAAAGTTTTCATTCAGTAAAACTGAATCACTGAAAAATCATCTGTGAAAAAATAAAAGCAGCTAAAATTATGCTTAAGTAACTAGCTGCTCCCTTGTTTCAGCGTTAGATTTTTTCTAATTTTTCCCAATTTGAGTGGCCGTAACATGAAAACAGAACTTCAGCTACAGTTTCACTAGTTAGATAAAGGAGCTTGAGGAATCCACTTGATTACAATTTATAAATATATATTCTTTATACAAGGATTGGTGGATTTAAATTCTTTAAGTTAGTTACCAACCTTTAACTGAAATGATACTTACATTTTCTTGATATTACGGATAAGCAAGTGTATATTTTAAAAACCAAACGGTATGTTTTTCACAAAATGTATATTGTTAAAACAAAAATGTTTGAAAGAGGCTTCCTGGATTGTTTCAGCCAGGTGATAGGATGTAAACTCTTGGCTCACAAATGAAAATGGAAAAAATTTGTTATCTCTACGCAACTTTTTAGCCTGACATTCACTTACTCTGAATGTTCTCTTCTGAAGTATTTGCATTAAATTTCAGGTTTTTCACTATACGTTCTTTAGAATGATATTACTGTGATTTGTTTGTGATAAATTTATTATTGACTAATTTCTCCATTTATTAACCGTATTACTTACTTATGCTCACAAGTGGTTTATTCCTTGGTAGTGGTAGATCTCGCATAAAATGAATTCAGCAGGAAAAGACATTCAACAGATTGAAAATTTTCAGAAGAGCTTGGATGAATATGTGGAAGGTACCTCACATATGATAACAACGAAGCAATTAAAAAATTTTTCAGAGAAAGAGAAGTTAAAGAATCAATTATCTTCAGCAAAAGCGGAAAAGAGTCAGTTGATGGATAAAATAAAGTCAGGTAAACAAGAAATAGTTATCATCTTTATTCAACTTTCAGCGAAAGAAGAACTGAAAAAGATTATTGAAGAAAATGAAAAAATACGAAGTTAGATTCACATTTTCACTTTCTAATATTCTCCGATAGTTAAAAAAAGAGTTCTAATTAGAATGCTGAGGATCATGAGAGAAAGACAAAACAAGTAAGAAATATTTATTACTCCTCGCCATGCAGTTTCATATTCGGGAAACTAATTAGTTCTACTATATTATATATTGCTTTGGAAAAGCTTCTGTATACGAGCAGTTAATCTGCTGGAGATGGCTGGAGAAATAAAACTGTGACTGCCTTTTCGATTAATATATACGTATATAATATGTTTCACAGGATATGATAATAAGATTGACATAGATGATAAACGTACAGGGAAAGATGACAACACCAAAGCAGGGGAATTTTAAAAATAGATAGTGCCGCCATACAAAAAGGTATTCTTTATAGCCCTACATTGAATTCTGAAGAAGGCAGGGAAAAAAAGGAAATCTGAACTCATAAACTCACCCTGATACAGATTATTTTGGTTAAAGGATCTTTTAGAACCCACCAAACAGATTAAATTGGTTTTTGTATTAACTTGCGATGACTTTGAGGTCAAAAACATAGGTCCAAATAATAAGCCAGATTTAAACGATTAGCGAAGAAAAACGCTCAAGCGAGATCCAAACTATTTTTACTAGTTTCTTTTATTTCGAATGGAATACAGGGTTTCGGAGGCATAGAAATCTAGACTGAAAGACCTTAATATGATAAGAAGTCCTACAGAGACTAAGCTATTGCACTACGAGTACAATCGGGTGAAATAATATGGCAGTAATAAGTTGTAGTGTACTTGTGTGGAGAGATAGGCTAATAACTGAGGTTTCGTTTATTGAAAAAACTGAGAACACATGCAATCAAAATCGTTTGACATCGGTTTCGGATATAAGATAAATTTTACTACAACATTTTATTCGCTACGTTTGATGAAAACATTCCCAAATAATAAGAAGAGAATTCTCATTTCGTGTGTCAGAAAACATCCCAGTGTACATGAAATAGATGTTAGGTTTTCAAAAATTATCTAAAATTTCAATTTCATAACTTAAAATTACGGCGAGACTTTAGCAGAACGATGTTAACTAAATTTTCTAATTTGAAGCTGAAGTCAGAAAAGGCTCCTCGACCTTAACTACAAGAAATGTTGACGCTAATTTGCACATAATTGTCACCCAAATAAATAAATAAATAGATGAATACGAAGAATCTCGTTGAGTAATTTGTAATTAGTAAGTATGATTACTTATGAAATCAATACAGAATAATTTTAAGGTGTTTGATGCTTATATCACACAGATGTTCCGAACTGTAGAATTGTGAATGTTTATCTAGCCGTAGTTACGAAACGAACTCTCTAATTGTGTAATGAAACCTGCAGATACTGGTTAATTAGCTTTTTATAGTGTATACAGACATGATATATTAATTTATTCAGAGACCGTGTGTATACCATTTGAGGGATTTCTTGAATTTAGATCCCAAGAAGAAGTGAATTCATTGAAAACAAACATGGAAAAGACCAAAACTGCTACAATAGCAAAACTTGAAAGTTCTTTGGATGAAAGGTAACCTACATATGAATTATTTTTAAATTTTTACCAATAAAAAATCCTCTGTTAATAGAATGGGTCATCTGCTAGAATGTATAAAGAATTCAGCAAATCACTGGCTTTTCCGAAATCTACGTGATGCAGATTGTTCAAATGATTTAGAAGAATAGAAAGATGAGGGAGAGGAAATATCCCTGCAAGAGGATAATTAAAACTCCAGGTTTTCACGTTAATTTGTTTTTGTGAAACTTGTCAACTGAGACTTGTTACAAGTGAAAAGAAAACAAGTTTCAAATTACTGTTACTGTTGTTGTGTTATGTTATGCTGCTTTTAGTTTTTTCACTGTGGTATTTCGAATAGATAAGTTGAACAAAATGAGTGGTACTTTTTGATGTATAATGATGTGATCGGCTGACATTTTTCAACTTTATAAGTTGTACATTCATATTATTATTATTCTATATTATTGTTCCCTTGGGTTCCTAGTGGAATATAGGGCTTCAACTACACGTCTCCACTTGTTTCTGTCTTCTGCTGTACTTTTCACCTGCATCCATGTTAGTCCACACTGTTTCATACGATCTCCTCCATGTCACCCGTGGACGTCCCACTCGCCGCTTCCCTTTAGGGTTCCACTCGAGGGCCTGACGCGCAATGTCACCCAGCGGCCTCCTCAGAGAGTGTCCAATCCATCTCCACTTTCTCCTGCATATTTGTTGAGCGATTGGTTCTTGTTTTGTTTGTTTCCATAGTTTCTTGTTGGTGATTCTTTCCGTCCATCTGATGTTGAGTATAGAATGAAGACAGCTGTTGATAAAGGTCTGCAACAGGCTGTTGGAAATATTCTTTGTGACCCGCCAAGTTTCTGATCCGTATAGCAAAACTGACTTGACCTCGCCTAGATTACTAGCTCACTAGTTTTCTAGCCGGTCCCAAGCCCGGATAAAGAGGGAGGGTTGAAGCGTGGTGCTAGCAACTCCACCCCCAAAACTTAACCAAATCGCTACAGAAACTACAACGCACAAGTATATTAAAAATTCTAAAAATATCAACAATGACCTTATTTTTCGCTGGAATCGGGGAAGTGAAATGACGCAGGCTAGTGAAAGCCTTCGGGAAACCAGTCAGCTGATGTGCCTTCTTTCGATGAAAGCAAAAATAAGGATGGGGACGTGGAATATTCGTACAGTGTACATTCATATACTTATTTAAATTCGATCATTGTTAGATCTATGACTTTCTCTCCTAAAATTATGTCTACTTTTCTTATTGAAAAAGTTACGCATTTATAACTGGTCCTTAACATAAAACCATACAGGAGAATGGGAAATAAGCCAAAGTCTGTCGATTACTGCTTCTAAACATGTTTTCAAAGGACAGTCAGGCTGGACTATATATATATATATACATAGCAAACTGAATAACTCACGTTGCATTGGTTTCCAAAGGGGTATGGGAAATTACTGAGGAATGATTTAAGCAGCCATCTAAACCTTCTCTTGCTCAACATTTTGATGAATGATTACATCCTTTTACTTATGTTCGTATGAATAACACAAATTCAATAAGTGTTCTATTCTTTTCGTATTACTAATCATTTGAACTTTGTGAAAATATTTGAATAGGTCAGAAATAGCTAAAGACTATTAAATTATTCTACTTCACTCTGCTTCATTGATTTCTGGTTGCGTTTACAAAGTTTGATTTCATTTACAAGTGCAGAAATTTTCATTTATTGCAGTAACAGATAGTATCTGTAATTAATTAACAGATATTTCAATTCGATTATTTATTATTATTCGATTTTGACATAATCATGGACATTAACCCAGCATTAGTCAGTGTATAAACCAAATAATTCACTGGCTTACTTTTACCAATATCCTTAAAAGCTGACTAATACTCAGGAGACAAATTTCATCAAGATTATGGCATAAACTCATTCTCGTGTATAAATAGTGCAAAACAATATCCTAAAAGGTTAAATAAACTGATTTTATAAGACAGTAAAGCGAAAACTATTGTATGAGAAGGAGAAAATGTTTCCAAACTAACATCCTCCTAGGTGCTTAAAAATTAGTGATGTGTTTTTCATGATATATTCAAGCATTGCTGCTGTTTTGAAGCATAACTTCCAACAGGTTCCTACGAAAGACTTGGTATTCCAAGAGAGATTCCTCTTTATTAACACTTTAAGATGATAATGAGACTGAGAAGAGTTTTATATATACGAGAGATGCAATCATCTTTAATCAATTTACTGAAGTTGGTAAAGCTTAAAATTCAGACCGGTCAAATGACTTACGTGTTTTCATCGACGGGCTAAATAGAAGCTTATAAAGAGAATATAATTTGCCAAAAAGAAACCAAAATCTATATTTTAAAAAATCAAACAACTTGATGTTAAACCCTTAAAGTTGTCTGAGTTCTAACAAAAAATACTTTTACTTAAACTCCTCATAGTCACTACATATAAAAGGAGCAGGTAACATTTGCAACTATGTTAGATTGTATTACACGAAAATCTATATGGAACTGAAATATTTTCATTTTCATTGTCTATGTACAGTTAGCAGTAGTAAATAAGTTTAGAGAAGTTGGGATTACGAAGAATGAAATGTAGTCAACAATGTGATATTTGTTCATTCAGACCAACTTTCGAAGAGAGAAAAAAATCGGAACCACTGTTTAATTATTTTTCGGTTGTTAATTAAGCTGAAGCCTTCGTGATTATATACTAGAAAGTAGTCATTTCAAAAGACGGTCAGAATTAACTGTGGTATTGTCTGAAATTCCACTAAAGAATACTTTCTATAGTTTGTATTCATTAGCGACAGATAAGATATAACAAAGTCTATAACTTAAATGTTTGATATTGAAGAAAAGCTATCTTCAAAGTACAAGATTTAGTGTTTTGCTAGAATTAAGGGCTGATTGCTTTTTATAGCTCAGTAGACAGATTACTTTTTGTTTTACCATCACACTTGCTATTTATGATAACAAGGAAATGATGCCATGAAAATGTTTACTGACTGACTGGTTTCAGTATAAGACTTTGCACAGGAGTATAGCGGTTCCAGTTGCCACACTGTCTATGTAGCATACAAAAGGAGACAGAAGAGTGAAAAAGAGATTCAAAAGAATCAGAATAAGTAGAAATATCAGGGAGAAAGAATAGTAACATGGAAAAAGCAAAATAGTTTAATTGAGAATGAATCCATCTACGCCAGTGAGAATGATTTTAAGCCACATCACTAAGTGTTTCCAGCCACTGGTTCTTAGTATTCTGAAGACCCAAACCAGGCAGTCTACACCTTCCTATGTGGCTCATGGACTTATCACAGGTCTTGATCTGACCATGACTATCTCTTTTCCCCTCTTGATACTAACATTAATCTTTGAGGAAGGAGATGGCTAGGCATTTGTAACACATGTCATAGTCATCTCAGTCAAAGTAGCTTCAAAA